CATTCAAGGCTGCATATGCAGGGTGTGTGGGAACTGCACAGAGTTCAGTGTGCTGCATTTTGAACCACCAGTCAAGAGCAAGGCGCAGTGGTTAACTGTTTCAGAGATGTATGGGCCTGCCTGCACCCAGTTAAATTCAGCCAGGGACGAGCGGCAGTTCACGCACGTACCTTGCACGCGAACTGGTGGTTTTCGAGACATTGAGATATAGGACCATTGGAATGAGTGTCTGTGCCATTTGTGTGGTCCTGAGGGCTCTCTAGGAGTGTCTTGGTCGTTCTGATTGCAACAGGGATGCTGAGTAAGCGTAATGCCGCACTACCCAGATATTTGTGCTGCTCTAGAATGAATGTGGGCAGTCTTGCTACCACGTTCATGTAGGCTTCGCATGGATGAAACAACAGCAGAAAAGGCTCTTTGAAAAAACAAGAAAGAGAAGGAGCCCCTAACAGCGTCCGATGCAAGATGGGCAGCCTGGCTGGAGAAGGGAGTTTGGCAGATAAAACATGTCTGGGATTATGAGTGAGGACTGGAGCTGAGAGCAACCTTGGGAGGGTACCACAACCTCCAGGCGAACGTCAATGAGATGCTCCTCTCCATCCCTGATGAGTGGGTTGCCAAGCTAAAAAGGCCCTGTACATGGGAGCGAGGGGGCTGGGCCACTATATCGACAGATAGGGTGCCAACAACGGTCCTCGCCTTTCTGTCGCTTACGGTACCAAACAGGGACTGGCCCCTCTTTGACATGCATGACATCACAGCCCCTGGGCTGGCGACGAGCGCATTAGCCAAAAGCAGTAAAAGACAGGTAGTGGTAAGAAGTCTCCTGGCACGTAAACTCAGGGTGGTGGAAAATGAAGGTCGTACGGTCTTTCCCCCCACCATGGACATTCAGGACCTGGAGGTGGACCCGGCGGGGTGGGGATGGAAGCTACGGCAACGTCTGGACATTGTCAGTCATCGATTCGATCTCCTGCAATACACTACTAGGCTGGGCTACAGGCTCAGGCGCAGGGCGGTGAATGTGTCTGATATCATCAAGCACAGGTGGGTGGAACAGATTGGCTCTGGCCCGGCAGGGTCGAAGCCCATCCCATGGGGGGATGTACTGGTGATCAGGAATACACGGGTCAGAAGTATGCAGTGGCTTCTCACGTATCTCACACTACCAGTCAAACAGTGGCTGAACAAACGCAGGAGGCCGGGGCGCAGATCCCAGCTAGAGGACCTCTGGGCCTTGTGTGAAACAGGACTTGTGGAAGACATTCTGTACTGTCTCGTCGATTGCCCAAATGCCTGTCAGGTCTGGGACAGGGTAACAGCCCTGTGGCAGGTGGTGACTGGCTTAGCCTTCCCGGTCCAAATGCTGGTAATCCTTACGGGCTTCACTCCCCCAAGGTATCCAGAGACATTTCAGCGGCGACTGTTTCGGAGGCTCAGACCCCTGGCGTTGTGGAAGATATGGAAAAGAAGATGGTTTGAGACTATAGACAGAGGACAGCAGCCGCTGCTGCAAGCATGGGAGGGACTCCTCCTCCTGCTAGAGGCGGAGTACTGGGTTGACTGGCTGAAGGTTAAGAGAGAAATGGACCGTGACGTGGACAAAGCACCGTAACTCTGTGATGCCTTCATCCACAAATCCTTAGGAGCAGGCAAGATTGGCCGAGTAGAGAACGAAAGGATACGATTTAGCTGGTCTCACTCAGAGGAGCCAGGGAGGTTTAAGGACGGACAGCAGGAGGATGCTTCGGTTCATAGTCAATCACCCTCGGATTGGTATACGTTGACAACACGGTAGCTCACTGATCTGGGATGCTGGCAATGGTCACGTCCAAGAGAGGCACCTGCAGGCAAAAGCAAGAAGCTCTATGGTTACCCAAATTACTTAACTACGGAGGCCTGCATATGCAGATGGCCCTGCAGACGACATGAACCATAGGCATCAGGGGACCAGTAGTTATGCTCTGGCGATGAGCTAGTGGAGTAGGCCAGGTGACTGCCTAGGCTCAGCTGTTTAGCTGTAACTGATTTCCTACTGACAGCCTAGACAGTCGACCCCCCAGGGTATCCCGGTGGAGCTGGTGTGGTGTAGCACGGTGGCCTGCGCCCACTAGAAAGAGTAGATAGTCCCTACCCTCGCGTCAAGTCTTCCCCCTGTAGCCGAAGCCAGGTAATGGCCCCGGTACCCTCTCGTGTAATTGCTGTACAAGGGACGCTAGGCCCCGTTCCCAGCACGTGAAGCTCCCCAAGAATAGATCGGAGCTTGTTTAGTTTGGGGAAAAAAAAGAGGGGGGGGGATGCATGTTGGCCCCTGCCCTAATTGGGCAGTGGTCAGGGAGTAGGGGGGCGGCTGACGATGGGGGGAAAGGCTATGCAAAGACCAAGCATTTTGCCTGGATGCATCTTGCCCCCTGCCCAAATTGGGCAGTGGTCAGGGGGGCTGCCAATGAAGGGGAAGGCTATGCAAAGACCAAGCATTTTGCCTGGTAGGGAGCCATTTTGGGGCCATTCTAGCCTGTGACCTCCTTCCTACAGCAAAACAAAACTGGAAAAGACGGTGGAGACAGAAGGGAGAATGGAAACTAAGCAGGTAAGGAGACAACACGGGACCTGACATGAAGGAGGTCACGGATGAATCATAGAAATATAAAACCATACAAAGATATCCCCCAACCTTGAGATACCAATTATCTGGTGCAATATATATTTCTTCCAATATGAATTCAAATTCATGAAAATACTCCTCCACACACGCAACCAACACCTACTCCCACTCTTCACACATACTTACAGATGCTTTGATGATCTCCACTCCCTAAATAATCCCCACATCAAAGAATTCTTGAATCCCAATGTCACCTCACGAAGAAGCATCTACTATCTGTACCCGCTCAAATATGTCACTATCAACGACCAAACCAAATACGACAATACCCCACCATATGCGCCTGCAGACTGCAATTTCCTGAACGCAACAACAAAAATAACAATCATAACAAATGGAACGTACAACACACACAAATACAACAGAAGAGAATAACTCAAATCCCACATCAACAGATACCTAAAATATGATTCCAACAGGCCAACCAAACAATCTCTAAAGTTACTCATCCAACAAATCATAACAATTATGGTCATTGAATCCTCACCTGAAAATGCTGCTACAGAAATCAATCACACCATCCACACGTCAGTTGACAACGGTTTTCCCAAACATAGATGTCTCCACCTCACCAAAGAAATACTTACATACCATAACCAATATCAACCCTTCAGAAGCCCACCCAACACCACACTACAGATACTCCTACAATTACAATCTAACAATCACTAAAAATCCACAAAGGTGTGCATGCTATAAACAGCTTAATCGGAACGGATGGGGGACCTGAAACCCGTAAGGGGGACAGGTCCTACCTTCGTACCTGTGCCCCCTTACCCCCCCCATCACGYGSRATAGMGGRGGSGTCACACACACMMACACAMAMAMAAAAAAAAAAAAAAAAAAAAAAAAAAAAAAACATMAAAACMCAGAAACAGMTACWCACACATATACAAACATACCACAWAMAATCAACACACACACACACACACACAYTTTGTAASTATATACACACATACATACACATAACATACAAAGTATTACAAACTGATGCTGGTACACAGACCCACTTTTCTCACACCCGCAATAAAAACGCAAAATATCTGGTGCCCCACCCACCGGCCCCAAACTCACCCCCCTAAACCCTGACCTTGTAAACCCACACACACATAACAGGACACCTCTGAACCAGTATACCACGAACGCCACAGACCACATCACCCTCTACCCCTCCAACCCTCAATGATACCCGCTCCACAAACACACATTTTTTCTTGACCTCTCTAAATACAAGCGTCGAGGCCACCTCCTGACAAGAACACCTAAGCATGAAACGAGCATTTTTTCTTGACCTCTCTAAATACAAGTGCCGAGCCCACCTCCTGACAAGAACACGTAAGCATGAAACAACGCTGCCAGAGAAGACCTGGCCACCTCGGACAAAACGCCATGCCAGGCCACAACACACCAGTCCGCAATAGCCGCCCGTGAAGACAAGCCCCCGACCAATAAACGTCCCCACCTCAAACATGACGCGTTACCACTAGGCTCTAGCAACCAACCAACCAACCACGGACACGCCTCTTCCTCGAGAAACCGCCACTACAGACACAACCTACCACGCGCCACTACCCACATACGCAGAGTATCTGGTGCCCCACCCACCGGCCCCGAACTCACCCCCCAAAACCCTAACCCTGTAAACCCATGCACTCACAACAGGACACCCCTAAACCAGTGTTCTGAGAATGCCACAGACCACATCACCCTCTACCCCTCCAACCCTGGGTTCCATGATTTCAACCCCACACCCACATTAAAAAAAAAAACAGCACCAGCCTACAAAACCCAACTCCACACCAATAACCGATACACCAAAATCCAACCCTTTCTAAAAAACCCGAACGCACACATACCCCCCCCTCCCACCCCTGTGTTTTCCATTTTTCTTTTTTTATAAAAAAGAGGGAGAAACACGCATTTTTCTTGAACGGACAAAAAATCCTTTGGACCTCTCTAAATGAAAACACCGAGCCCACCCCCTGACAAACATGCCAAAGCACGAAACGACGCTGCCAAAGAAGACCTGCCCACCTCGGACAGAACACCATGCCAGACCACAACACGCTAGTCCGCCATAGCCACCCGTGAAGACAAGCTCCCGACCAACAAACATCCCCACCTCGAACTCGACACGTCACCACTTGGAACTAGCAACCAACCAACCAAGCCTCCACTGCAGACACAACATACCACGCACCATTTCCCAAATGCAACCACCCGGAGAACTGGCCCCCCACTCCACACAAAAACACTAAATTAGCTTCCCATTCACTCCACACCATCACAAAGACGCCAATTGCAACATCTGGAACACCCCTGCGACCGCTTGCAGCTGCATCGAGGTACTAACGATGGCGCAAGTCAGGAATGCCATCCCCAATGCAGACATCTCGGAGCATGCGGTGAGTATAGCCCCTGTGCTCTACTTCCCCATACCCCTACACTGTCTCCATCTTTTACCTTTCTGGGAGCCAGAGGCATTTCACCCTCTGATGAGCCGTGACCGGCGCAAGCGGCAAAAAGCGCTTTAGGGGATGCGCCGCCCCTCCTCCTTTGGCTACTATTCCAATACTGATGGCCTTGCCATCATTGCTCCCCTCTCCTTCTTCTTTTCTGCTCCGCATTCTTCTTCTTCTTTCTTCTTCCTTCTTTTTCCTTCTTTTCCTTTTTCTGACTCCCTTTTCCAGCAAGAAACGCTATGCTAAAGTTGCCTACATAGTCTGTTGATATTTGGAGTTCCGAGTTAATATTAGAGATCCCCGTGTAACGGGTTGCTATGTTTCTTTGTTACACACACACACACACACACACACACACACACACACACACAGTCTGAACATGCATTACACACGTTCACGCACTATATGAACATGCATCACACAACGACACACAACGGCACACAATCACAAACACACAATATGAACATGCATAAACTGAGTGCACCATTGGGACATGACACGGACCTGCAACCAACACAAGGACCCAGGGTTTACAATGAGAAGACAAGGTGCGAAGAATAAATAGAGAGACAACACACAACTGGCGACTCAGTGGCGAGCGAAATGCACAATCCAAACCAAACCAAGTACAAACAACTGAGATCCTACATACGAAATGCATCCATCCAAACCAAGTACCCACGAATATGTGCACAAGCAACCTGTGCCACTGCGAACAAAAGTAGCAGAAACAACCTGTGACACTACGAAATGCATCCATCCGAAGCAAGTGCCTACGAATATGTACCAAAGAAAACTAACTACATAAAAGTATGTACAGAAAAAAATGCACGGCTTGCAGCCACGCGGCGAACAAATTGTAGACGAGTAAGAAGAAGAACAACAATAAGAAGAACAAGAAGTAAAAAAAAAAAAAAACAAGCTGCGTGGTGAACCAACTGTGGAAGAAGAAGAAGAAGAAAACAAGAGAGAAGAAGAAGAAGGGAGGAAGAAGAAGAAGAAGAAGACTCTCTCTTTCTCTCTCTCTCTCTCTCTCTCTCTCTCTCTCTCTCTCTCTCTCTCTCTCTTTCTCTCTCTC